AAAAGAACAAACAAGCACTCGCATTACGTATTGTCTGGATGTTAAATTAAAATTTGTTTATTAAAATTGAAATTATTTTTCGAAACGTTACAAATATCTATAGAATTCTTCTTTTCGCGTATAGAGTTTGCTGCTGCGTAATTATCTCTTCTTACAACAGTATGTTACAAGCAAGATTCTCGACATCTCGCATACGAAACTAAGCGAAGTGTACGCTTACGTCATAGTAAAATAAAATTCAAATTATATCAGCTTGGAATTTCAATGATGGCACTTGCGCCACTTCTAATGAAATTGCTGTCTATTTCGATGCCGTGGTCACTTCTGATTTTCTAATGACGATTTATTAGCGTAATGATAATTTGATCATCAATGCTATTAACTTTTATATTATAAAGATGGTCGTAATATCGCAATCTTTTCTTTCGCGCTCGCTTTCTCGTTGAAGCTTATCGTCGACAATTGTCTTGAAATGTCGTGAAAGAGTCTTGCATGAGCAACAGAAACATTATTAAAACTAAAGGCACTATACCCGCATATTGTTTCAGACAAATAATTGACGATTATTTTAGCATTATATTTTTTTAATCAAGTACAGTTTAAAAAATTCCACCTTATGCAATTTTGACATATATATTTCTTTCTTTTTAACAAACTTACCTATTTTGACTACATAGAATATGTAATTTTGGGAATGAATTGAATGAAAAGTACGACATATTATTAAAAATACATTTTATAGCTACAATATTATGAAATAAGAACAAGATAAAGACAGTTTAACATTTTTCCAAAAAAGTTATTACATTCTGAAGAAGACACTACATAAAAACTCAAAAAATCATATTCATTTTCGAAAAGTTGAAATATTATTTTTTTTTATTTAATTAAATTAATCTGTCTTCCGTAGACAGATACAACACATTTAAAGAGAATATTTTGCATCTCAGATAAAATCTTTGAGATTTATGCTGTCCAAAGATTCGTGGCAGTAAACATTTTATATGGAAGATATAACGAAATAGAAAATTCTTTCTCATTTCTCAAACATAAAATTATATAAATAAAATACGTTTTTAAGTACAATAGTATTAAATGCCGTATTATTCAATTCATTCTTATAAAATTTATTTCTTCGACATACACTTAGGGCGGTTAAATCTCTTGATATATTATATTTGTCTTTCCTCAATATTTTCTTAACAAATATATTCTATACAATATTTGATTAATTAAAGTATTATATTAAAATATTATAATTAAAATACTATCAAAACGTTAGAAACAATAATGTTTCATGTCTAAGTATCATTAAAAGACCAAACTAACTTTCTACTGGTACAATCTTCTTTTCGCTGATGGCATTCGATATACGTTAAAATAAGCGTGTAAACTCGATAACACGGTACGCCACTGAGATGAATTCTCGGTACGCTTCTAGAGGTTTCTCCGCCGCCTTTCTAAAACGGCATCCATTGGAGAAACGCGAAAGAAAAGAAGCCGAGCCCTGGAATCGCCGTTGCCGCTGTCTGGAGTCTCTCTCTCCGCAAATTGTCTTCGAAACGATCCGTTTGTCCGGGAAGGCGCTTCTAGACGCGTATACGTAAAATTGCAATCGTAATCAATGGTAGCGAAAGTTCCGCGCCGCATTCGTCATTTCTTTTACAGAGCTACTTAATTGCAAAAGTGACGTAATAACACAATTGAGAAAATAACTTCTTTAATTCGGAAAAAAGGAGCAGTAGGTAGTTCCTTCCAGTTGAACTCGAAATTTTCAAAATTAGGACGCAATGGAACATTGCGGAGTTTATAAAATTAAGATTGTATCACAAAAATTACAAGATATAATTATTCTTCTCTTCGGATTTTTTTTAAACCGTATAAGTGCAATTAGTTATTTTATTAACCATCCAATACTGAAACTCTTTTTTTTTTATCGTGTATATTACTTTGCGTACAGAAAATATTCATATAGATAACTCGAAATATCGATAGTTGAACTATAAAATAAAAAAAGATAATTTAACTAAAATAATAAAAAAAATATTTAAAAAAGAGATTAAAGAATTACAAAATTCAAGAATTACTTTATTGTGTAAGAGACTAACATTGAACGAAATTAGGATTAACATCATTTAAATTATTTAAATCAATCATTCAAATCAAATTATCTCTGTCGGATTACCATAGCTCATTTTAATAATATTGATACGTAAATCATATGCCTGCTTTTACTATCAAAACACAACAAGTGCGTCATTTCTATACGGTAGTCACATGTTATGGAAAGTAACAGTGAGTATAAAACGGTTAAGACTTAATCCTTTTCTTTCCCGAACAACAATCCCCTAACGTCAGTATAATCGCGTACGTAATTACGTGGGAATTGGGAGAAAGAGAGATTACTGCGTATTGATCAAGAGAATTTTTCTCACAGTTGCCAAAACGGATTATATTCGCAATCGTCAATTATATTATCCGATGAGAAATTTCTTTTTTGCTCTTGGAAGACTTATTCTTAATTGGACAGAAACACGATCATAATGCAACTATGCAAAAGTCCGATGGACACCACTTCGATAATTTTTATATTGTGTTTATTGAATGCGCTTAGCGAGGGACACCTTGTACATGCCTGTAGAAAGTACAAATGTCACTGTAAAATCAATTTCTCGCGCGCACCTTGCCTACTTGCACATTTTACATACAATATGCGCACGCGGTACGTGCCATCACAGGAGAAAGTTTTCGACATTTAGCTTACACCGAACGACAATTCAATTTTGTCACGAAGAGCTGCGGTTATCCTGTGTTCTAGAAGCCCATTTGGTTAACAAGATCATATACTATCGTCTGATGTCGTACATCACATATCCTTTCTAAAATGCACTTCCCTGTTTCTCTCGATTTTTCAAATAAAATTGTCCGTAATCATCCGTAAAATTTTATTACCTAATCTTTATAAATAAATTAAAGCTAATCTTCCACGTGTGTGTTATTTTCTTCTGGATCTTTTAATGCTATTTTATATATCTATATCTGATAATTTAAGTTTAAGACCTTTTGAGTATAGTTATTATAATCATATAGTATATATACATTTGCTTAATTTTCATTTATTTTCTTGTACATTTGTGTTTTTCTAAATGCTTAAAACCTTTTCTTATATTTTTCTAATAAACGTATGCATTGACGCATATTCAAGGTATAAGATATAAGTTAGACACAATATATAATGAAGTTTTCTCCGCCTCCAGGATAATAATGCAAAAAATCTTATGCCTTTCAGAAATAAATTTTGCTGCGTAATCATTGCAGTAATACGCGAAAGTTAATATAATTTTGTCCGTTCTATAATTTCTCATTTCCTTTTTCTAAAAAGGAAGATTTCCCTTGTGCTAAAGGGAAATCTAAAAAAGCAATAGAAATTATTAGAAATTATTAGCAGCGAGGGATTGTTCGCAACCGCGAGCATTCCTAAAGAATGAAATAATCTGACCTTTTTCACGAGCACCGTAGCCGTTTGAGAGAACCGCGTTCTATCCATGCTCCAACTGATCGCTAGACTTTAACAGTAATATCAAATAGACGAATAAATAAATTATTATAAAGTCAAGTATTTTAAAACTTGCATAGACAAGTATAATTAAGAAAGTAGAAAGTGTGTGCATGTGCGTGTATGTTGTGTATGGGATGAGCAACACAGTTTCCATTTATATCTTTGTTAGATTTGAAGATAAAAAAATCTAAGAGAAAAGTTACATTTTTCTGTTTTTTTTTTCTTTTTTTTTTTTTTTTAGGAATTTGATTTAAAGTGTGATGATGCAAACAAATTCTCCCCTAAGATAATTTTTAAGATAAAAAATATATAAATATAATGAAATATATTTATATTTATAGGGATTTTCAAAATCCTGACTGTACAATCTTAATGGTTCTGTTAAATGAAAAAGATTGTTGTTAAATGAGTATATCCAGCTTGGAAACAATAAACTTGTGACTGCGTGTGATGTGTGTGACTGCGAATGATAATTTAAAAGACATGCGAATATATAAATTTTCTTTACGCAATAATTCGCTAACACGCTTGGAGCGTTTAAGATTGCGCCATTAAGCGGGATCCTGAGGAAGAAGCGATTAAAAACCGGTGGAAATAACGCGCGCGCAACGTAATATACCATGAATAATTCTTCTTTTCGTGGAACAGCGGACGATACACGCCGAATAATCGGTGGAAACGTTACGGTCGCTTCACCTCTTGTAAATAATTTATAAATTATTGAGCCAGGAAGAAACCCCCGGTTCGCGTTATAAGCTTCGCACCGGAAGAAAATAACGAATATTCCTTTACACGCATTTCTTCTTCTCATTTGCTTCGAAACAAGCACCGAAAATGGTAACGCTAAAAAATGTATAAAAGGAAAAATGTGTGCCAAATATATATTTTTCTCTAATAAAAGTCTTTCTCTGAAAGATATTTCTTTGTCTAACAATTAATCTTCCACAAAATAAAAAAATAAAAAGTAGATATAATTTTATGGCATGAAAAATAAGTGAAATCACGAGGGAAACCAAGTATATTAAATTCTTTGCGTTCTAGAATTCTAGATCGACCTGATATAATGCTTTGCGGCAGTCTTCCGCATCGTTCTTCAAACATTCGATACGCTCTGCACGATAAACAAACACTTTTCTCCCTTTTTATCGTATGTGTGCACGTCCGTGCGTGCTTGCACTTACGAACAGAGAGAGAGAGAATAAAAAAGCAAGAGGGTATCTAATATATCGGGAATAAATACACACATACATACATTTTAAAATATATTTTAGAAATATGCTTAAAAATATATAACGATACACGTTAATTAGAATATATTTAGAAATATATTTAAAAATATCAAGAGACACACGGTAGTGTCTCGCGTGAAAAGTACACGCGCAGCGCGAGATCGCCCCGTGTATCTTTACGCGAACGAGAACGAGTATTCGAGTTTTTATAATAACAATATACGTGGGAATATTCAACAGAGAAAACGAAGTTATTGTAGCATGAAAATAATAAATCGCGTTGTGTGTAATAAAGAATTTTTTTATATTAATGCAAATTAAAAAGCGCAAAATTTATACACGACGCATTGCATATACGTGAATAAAATCCTTTTTCTTGAATTTTTAACGAGAAAATCGATTCACAGAATTCCCCGCGATTGATTTAAGAAATTCGCAAGAACATATTGTGGATGCACGTCGTTAACTGACAATGAGTAAAGTTGGAAAGCGTCGGCGACTTGATTGCACAGCATCGGAGGGTCTCAATGCAATTAAATATATGTACGTCTCATCTTCTCAGTAGGCGACACATTGATTACAATGCATATATCAAATACGCGCGTGGCTGCATGCCCACCTTTGGGTACAAATACCATTCGTTTAACCGTGCGAGTGCGCAAATGCCGATGATTTGTAATATCCGGTGTAAAGAAGTTGACCGCGTCTAAGTGGCTGTAACAGAATTCGCATCCGCCGTGCCGTTGCGGCATGCGTTTTGCTATATCGAAGAATGCAGATATCCTTGTAATAGAAGTCTCGTTAAGCTAACGAATTACTTAAGATGTCAAAGATGTCATCTTCGCCCATTGAATACCGTGGATAAATGCTTGCCACAGGCGAGCAATTTTGTTTTTATCATCGACATTGTCGCAGGAATGTTTTTAGTCGTAGTACAACTTCGCACCTGATCCCTCGGTAGAATGCCGGAGTGGTCTAATAAAATCGAACGATTGGTCTATCGCGGAACAGTTTACGCGCGCCTTTCACCCAAGTGACTCTCAATCGGCAGAAACGAGAAGGAGGAGGAGGAGCAGGCGAGGAAGGGCATCTATAATGTGTAATCGTTAAGGAGCGGTTCTGTACGCAATCCAAGGACTTTGTGATATGCTTTTATCATGACGTAATACGTTTACTATGCGCAACTGTCTCGCTCTCGCGCGGAATCTTAATGTAACTGTAAAGCCGGTCACGAAACTCTCGTGCTCTCCAAAACGATCTCGCCTAAGTAACACTCGCACTCTGTCAGGAAGGATACGCCGATTTCATCCACGGTCCTTAAAGTCGTCAAATAAGAGCTATAAAAAATACAGTCAGTTGTAAGACCAACGATTTAGCGTCAATGCTGGTTCGTGATTCGTTAAGCTTACCATTTTCTCCATTTGGAGTTCACTCTGACAGAATCGTACGGTAGGATCGATTTTAAATTACCGTTGTTACCCAGGATTAGAATGGGATTTTTGTTAAACTCGATCGACGAGGTGACCTCAGGTCCTGCATAAATGACGGTCGCATGAATATCTTGCTTCGAATCGATATGCACCAAGAATAATCTGTAACAATGTAATGGTATATATTGAATAATAACTATAATACGTTTTAACAAGTATTTTTTTTTTTTACAAATTATTATATTCTACTGAATATATTCTCACCTGTGATGTAGTCTAGGATCTCTGGTGACTAGCTTCAAGCATCCACCGCCATTGTAGGAAAATTTATCGCAAAACTCGAAAGTATTGACATCGACGGCAGACAATTTGTCTTCAAACTTGACGACTTTACCACACACTCGTATAATGTTCTTTCTATTTTCGTAGATACGTTCTATACGGGTTTCTTTCTTGTCACAACTGGTGTCGTTACTTTTATTATTTTCATCATTATTATGTTCTTCATTAACAACATCTCCAGGAAGCGTTCGTTGAGTTGATCGCGTAAATTGCAAGTATGGCACAGGAATTGCCAATTGCAGTTGCTGCATTCGCAGATTGTAAAATGCTTTCTTTTCGGGTGTGCTTTCGCCGTTTATCATATACGGCTCAAAATGTTCCTAAACGCAAACAAACGTGCACGTGCATGTGTAAGTTAATTTAAAATATCGTAAATATTTTAAAGAAAATTTTGAATTAATTAAACGAGGCATCTTATTTATTATTATTATTTACCTCGCCATTATAATAGTAGCAGATACCAGCACCTCGACAGAAGGAAGTTTTAAATGTGTCGTCTTCGAAAATGGGTACGTGCACATATAAATAAGGGAACAATTGAGCCCAAAATAAATCTTCTAAAATTGGAAAAGCGCTTGGACCAAAGTACTCGTGTGTCCATCCAGGAGCGAAGATAGCAACTGAAAGCCCTTGTTCCCGTATCAAGTTCAGCGCCTTTAAAAATAAAAATTTATTTTTATTATATCTGAATTTATATTGCAAAAAATAAGGTAATGATACACGTGTAACGTGTGATAGAAGTAAAATATTTACGTATGTTGAGTTAAAGCCGCCTCCTCCTGGACATCCTCTCCCCCAAACGTCTAATCCAACATAAATATCCTTAATATCGCGACCCAATTCCTTTGCGAGTAGACGACTACTGATCAGTCGCGATTCCGTCCAAGTATAATTTAAGAATATACCATCGCAGTGCAAGAAAAACTCTCTAAAACAGAAACAATTGTTATTAAATCTCTGTGTCGATAGAACTAAAATGTGAGGACAAATGATGCGCTAATAAATTAAGGTACATTACTTGTTATTGTCATTAAGTTCGTTCTGCCAGTTTAATTCACCCTTATTGGTCACACTGTCGTACCAGATAATTTCAGAATTTTCAATTTCATTGTGAATGCTTTCCGTTAGATACTTGATGAAATAAATCAGATTATCAATATCCTCTCGCTTGATCTTATTTTCGACGTTCAAGAGCCAGCCCTCAAATTGATAACTTATTGCAATCAATACCAAAGCGTCTGCAAATTTTCTCGCATCCTCTTGCGACGCGAGAATCGTGTCCCAAGTGTCATTGTTCCCTTCCGTGATCACGGTACCCAAGACTTTTACGCCGTGACGATGAGCCGCGGTGATCCATCCGCAGGGCGGGATAGTCACAAAGTGATGACTAAAGTAAACGAACGTGTCGACAATGCTCCAGTGATAAAATACATAAGAATCGTGGGAGGTTGAACCCTGTAGGAATCTGTAGAGATATAAAACAAACACAGACATGATTACAAATCACAATTGCGTTTATTCTAGCTTATGACATTTTGTTAAATTACCTGTCTTCGAGATAACCACCTTTCATATCATGACAGACCAGGGTTCTGGGTTGCTCGGCCCTATCCACCCTTTCCAGCGGAATCTTCTGTGCGACGATATCTGAGCCTCGGTACACATAATCCACCGATTCTGTGATGTATGCCAATGGTGATTCTGTTAACCCATCTTCCAGGGTACTGTACAATTCTGCCAATGTGTTAAAAGGCTGGGATTCTCTTGCCTCGACGCCGCTTGCCATCCCAGTGGTTTCTGACACGCTGTTGCTGCATTCCATGGTTGCAATTTAAATTTCCCAACAGTAAACTGACGTAATGACCCTTCCTGTGCAGCTATCACCGGAAAATGCTCACGGTTACGATAACTCATTCTAGAAAAAATAGTTCATGGTTTTTGATATGTTACTCTGCGGTGAAATCACAGTTCCAATTATCTAATCTTTCGACACTGTTATCTGCTGGCAGTTATTGTGGAAGATGAATGAAAGCGTAGCAGAAATCTGTGTTAACCCACTAAGCAAAATGTCAGCAGGATGCTAACAATTTATCAGCACACCCGAGCAGAATATCGCGGCAGATTGTTATTAATCGCTGCAACATTCTCTTAGCAGAGCCGGTCGACATAATTTGACAGTGGATTGCCGATAGAAGTTGAACAAAATCTATCACTCGTAATCATTTAAATGAATCATATCATTATATAAAGTAACTGATTTTGTTCGATTTCTGCAGTCAATCTGCCATCATATTCCGTCAACAGATTCTGTCATATTTCTGTTGACGTTCTATTTTGCAAAATATTTTTGACAGACTGGAGTGTCACGGTTTTTTATTACTTAGATATTTTAAAATATATAAAAGAGATCTAACAAGTCTTTCGTTGAAAATAATTTAACCTATAAAATACTCCAGTAATTTAGTAATTTTTGTATTAATGGCACGATCTGTATAAATGTCGCAGCTTCGTCATCCAGTAAGATAGATAAGATTTTATTTGCAAATATAAGTATTACGAATTAGAGTGCATACCTCATTATCAATTCACAGACAGAAAATGAATGTTAACATATTGTTATTATTCATATTTTTTATTTCAATTATTTTATGACATACTAATCTACATTAAACATCTCAGTAAGCATAAACTGCTTTCAGTATGATAACAAGTTGACAGCAGATTTGCTTATAGCTAGTTATTGCAGATCCGGTATCATCTGTATCCGCATTAAACTCGTGTTCCTAGCAGAGCCTGCCGATATAATCTGACAGCAGATTGTCGACAGAAACCGCATAGAATCTGTCTTTTTGTAAACATTCAAATAGTTCAGTTTCTGCACTCAATCTGCCATTATAGTTTATTAACAGATTCTGTTATTTATCAGTTGGGATTCTATCGACAAAATTTGTAGTAGATATTTTTAAAATCTATCCTCGACAGATTTAGCTATCCAGGATTCCAGGATATTATCGTTATCAACACAATCTGTGTATGTATTGTAGAATATATACAGCGAGGTGAGATCACAGACATATAATGACAGAGAGAGAAGCCTGAAGAGTAGACATGTTTTAAATGGAAGTAGTGGAACCTGTCTTAGCGCCTCTATATGCACAACCACGTGTATATTGAACTACGTAGCCATGGCCACGGATACTTTCAACGGGTAACTAGTCTTCGATCCTCGGTTTTCCAAAATGATTTCTTACGTGAAAAAAATAATATTAAATTAACAGCATTAGCTAACAGCAGTCTAATTAAAAATAATCCTGTTAATTCAATGACAGTATTGATGAAACAAATATATCATATTCGTGTTTCAATGAAATGTTATTTATTTCATTTTAATACTGTTATTAAATTAAATAAAATTATTTTCATTTAGACCGTTATTAACTGTTGATACATCATTTTTTTCTATATTAAAAATTAATCTTTAAATCGTGACATAAGGATTTTTTCTAATAAAATTAATCATTTTTTTAAATAAAATAGTATATAATTTCCTATCCTATCGTGTTTGCGTTTAATAAAAGAGAGTCCGTAAAAAGCGCTTCACGAAATAGCCATTACCACGATATAGCCGTCGCGAACAATTAAATAATTAATTGAGTGGAACTAACCAATTCGCCAATTTTCCACTGAAACTGACCGTAATGTAATTAATAAACTGTACGGAAAAATTACGACACTAAATTACCCGAGCCGTTTGATTCGGCGATTTCGTGCTCATAATCTGGAAACAGCGGTCGAATCGCATTTCTATCGATGCAGGCTTTAAAGCGCGAGATGTATTTTAATCCGACCGTGGAAACTTGAAGAAGTTTCTATCGCGCGTCCGTAATACTATAATCTTTCTACTTCGATTCTTTCGAATAAATAAGCCGCGCGAAATATTCACTTCGATAAACACACAGCCGCCGCTTCAATGCGCTCAATCACGGAAGGATAATCAAGCGTAAAGTCGATAATCTTATTCAAAAGCTCGATCGTATTTGTCATATTAACTCAGTCACTTTAGACAAAAATCGAACGAAACCTTGTTAAGAAAAAAAGTTAGCAAGCTGAATTTTGGCACATACCTCCATTTTTGCATAAGATTGAAGGGGAAAAAAGTTTTATATACATATATATGTATATATAAAATGTAAGATGGTAAAATATAAATGTCCATCCGTGTTTCATGAGATCTTTCTTTATTTGGAATACAATTTTTCTGCGAAGACATATGTGTATAATCGCAGGAACACGGTATAGATACAATTCCACGTAAGATAACTGGAAGACGTACGAGATCGTTATTTAAGTGTAAACGAAAGCAATAATGGATGGTCTAAGGTATTTTCGTTAAAATGGTCCCGCGATGATGTGCCACTTTCGCCTTACGAGAAATTTTCTAAAAAATGATTTCCATACTTAAGAAAGATACCTTACACAATTATAAATTCTGTCAATAAACTTCTAAACAACATACAATTGATAAAGATGATCAAAAGTGTTGCAAATGTATGAGTGAGGTAATTTTTATTAAAGATTGTTCTCTTCCGGCAGTTCTGATTTTAATTCCCTGGACCACAAACTATGGGATATGGTATAAAGCAAAAGACTACAAAAAAAGACAATTTAGAATTCTTAGACACTCTTTCGTTATAAAACAAAAAATTAAGCATTTCGAGTAACTTACATAAATTAAGTCTTTCTTTTGTAATTTCTAAGCATATGTTTGCATTAAATTAAAATATTATGTTTAATTATATTTTTATGTGAGCAAAAATATTGACAGAATTTATGTCGAGGTTTTATACTATTATCGATTCGACGAATGAGGATTGTCAGTAACTGGAAGATTATCCTAAGAAATTAGATATTCTATAATTAACTTCAATAACTAATTTTCAACTATAACTAACCTTTGTATAGACGAATTTTCAAAAATATTATTTTCATGACTGTCCGCTATTTACGATTCTTCTTAACAATGCAACGAATATGTTATCAGTTACTTTGTTCATAGACATTACTATTAAAGAACATATGTCGTTAAATATTAACTTATTAAATATTTAAATATTTAAATAAAGATCATAATTGAAGGAACAATCGAATGAAAAATAGATATGTATCGTTTCCAATACGACAAAAATAAACGGACAAAAGAAATATTTAAATTTTACAGCTGTCAATTTATGTTGACAAGGGATAATGGAAAATTAAAAAAAAATGTGCAAAAAATTGTTTAAAAATTAATATTTGATAGATATTCCAAAAGTTTTTAATTGATTTCACAGATGAAAGAATAGTTTTTTAATTACACAGAAATAATTTAGTTCAATTCTTTTTTATTTTTCGTTTATGAGATCGCTAATGAATAATGATTTAAAAATTGATAGAAACAGGAGACGCGATATCTAATTTTTATTGTTTTATATGTTTATGCATTCCTTCGATTGTTAAGAAACGTTGAAACGTTGAAAAATAAATTTTTCATTCGTATTACAATTCTATATTCTAAAATTGTCAAAATCAATAGTAGTAATCAGACATTCTATGGATCCTTATGAAAGAACAAACTCTCCGACCTAAACTTGTAAACCGTTAGACAAAATTATCCTTCGTGATGTATATGTCACATTGGAGACTACTTATCTACATAATTATCTAACAACTAATCTAAACAACTAATTTCTTGTCGCAAAAGTATACAATCCTATCGTCACTTTCACGTATTGCCTGGTCTCTTACAATTAGTCATGAAAAAGAATATTGTTTCGATACGACTCATGTTGAAAAGTAATTTTTCAACACGATAAAAAACATTTTGGAAACATCCTTCATATACGTTTAACAAAGCCGCTTATAATAAATTACTGCTACATCGCTATTGTCTATATACTCAAAAACGGTATTCATTGTCAGACGCGATTATTTCGCACATCCAGGAGTCGTAGAAAGTAACCAATCTTCGAGACTAGCTGGAGAGTATTTACAAAATCGAGAAAGCAAGGACTGCGTTTACAAAAGTCAATATCGCGGTTTACCTATACAAAACTATAAATGTCATCGAATACAGTCGAACCTCTGTATTCTGAATATCTTAAAGCCTCCTTTAATTTTCTTAACATTTTCTCTTGTGCTATTAATTCTCTCTCTCTCTCTCTCTCTCTCTCTCTCTTGTTTGCCTAAAGTCATGGACTAGGGCATAATAAATCCCATCAATCAATCAATCAATCTCTCATTATATGTATTATGTCAGCCAAAATACTCGCATGATTGAAACGATATTTTCATTCTATCTCATATGTCATTGGAACACGTGCAGAAATTGAGGGTAAGAGTTAAGAAGAGGGAGGGAGTTTGGTCCTGACATGCTAATAATATGGAGATTTGACTGTAATCGTAATATTGCACATTATCGTCATGCGGGTTATATTCGATATTATTCTTTTTTTTAATACTTGGTTTTTTGGTATAATATGATTAGTTATCGTTAAAATATTTTATTATACATTACTCCATATATATGTATGATGTAATATATAATAATATAATAGTAAATATCATATATACGTATACATATATATAATATTTATATACGTGTACAAAGATATATAATGTATATATAATATATATTGTGCATATATGAGATATGTTAAATGTTAAGGGTTTTATTAAAGGTCATTTTTCTTATTGGTACGATTTTTCACTTGATTACATTTCTATTACTGTTATTCAATCTTTTATATGTATCATGTAAATGTTGTAAACTATTGCAACAAGGGATTTCCGTTATTCGTCATTGGCATTATTCTATTGTAAATATGTAAGATTATGTATGGCGGTATATATTATTTCACACACACACACACACACGTGTGTGTGGTAAATTACACGATCTTCACTACAATATTTGATTATGCACCTATTAGGATATGAGGTATGACGAAGAGTATTGTTAAACCTTTTATGTCATATTATTGTGATCGACTAGTAATGACTAAGCTCATTAATATTGTTTTTCACACGTACATAAGGCGGGCTGATGTACATGTGTTGTGATTAATTTATGGATTATAGGCCGTCGTCTACAAAAACATTCTTATATATCGAATCTATACAGATACGAATTTTTTATTCACCGAATAAATTACTAAATTACTAACTATGGGATCTATAAATTGAATCCATATCAAATAAATTAAAATGGAAGAATTTCACGTAGTATTTAAATAGAAAATAATAAGTTCTATCTTTTATATCTGGTAAAATGTATAGATTTTAATTTATCAAAGGGCTCCTACGTGAAGAGTATTCAGTCTATCAATTAATGTCCAAAAAGATTCTTGATAAGGCCATCTACGTAAAAAAGACATTCGAATAGGCTCTTTTTTCTCACTCGTTGAAGATTTTATAGGAAAAATCTAGACTAAACATTTTAGGACTATGCCTTCTACGCCGTTTTTGATTACATCCATGATGTAAGACAAATAATTGAAGGCACATCCTCGATGGAAAGAAAATGATTCTCTTTTATGATAAAAAAAGACGCGAGATGATCCCTTAATGGTAAAGAACCGCTAAGCGCAAATTCTATAATTCTATAATTTCATAACCAAATTATTTTGTTATATTTAAAAAGTATGAGATTACATTAAAAATAAGTATTAAGAAGAGTTTGATATAAACGTCATTCAATTATTCACGCTGACCAATAAACTGTGAACGCCCCAGATCTATTTCCGATTTTCATCGTTAAATATTATACTTTAGAATCAGTCTACTCTCGGGGATCTGTTTTCCTTCGCAGGAATCTGTCCTTTTTTAAAGAACTTCTTGTTCTTAAAGTCACATTTAATTAAACGATTAAGCTAGCCTTTTGACCAACGTTAATAATATCGCAGTAATCAGAAGTCCGAGCAGGACTTTGCATAACTCGTTATCAAATGCTTTAGAAATTTTCGCCGATATCCCAATCCCGCGCTAAGTTGAAAACTTCGAAATCGCCGTCGGGTACCTCGGGTTTATCAGGTGCGACTAATATCTCGGGTCGCAGTGCCACACAGTCTCTCGGCGAGCATTCGATGCGGCCTTCGGAGCCGCAGCTGCATTCGACGCAGTTCCCGGTTGAGTGTGGTAGTGTCTCACCCTGTCGATACTCTCTTCCTGTAATTCAAGTTTCATAGTACATACGAATTTCTCTCGTATAAAAAGGCTGAAACCGCGAATGTATACATGAACGCGCGCGGCTTTTATAATATATATAAAAGAACATATAGGCTGTCAAAGTATATAAAAGCTCATGCGCTTTTATCTTGCGCCGAGACGCTATGAATATTAAACGTAAATTGTGTTTTAAGACAATGTAAGGTACAAAATAAATTTTAAACAAATCTTCAGAGATTTGTTTAAAAGATAATAACTATGCTATAATAAAAATGTTTTGGAAAATAAATAATATTAAAACGTCTCTAGAAATCTATTAAAATTAGATTAAATAAATATGTAATAACGTTTATATTTTCTATAAGTATATGCGTAATATTAAATTATATTGTTTACGACGGTCGATATAAAAATATTAGAGATTTATTAAAATATTAAGAGAGATTAATTAGGAAAGAAAAATTAATTAATACCCATCACGAGGCAAATGGCCGGTGCAGAAGGCGTTGTGCTTGACAGAGTGCCGTTAATTTCTTTATGTCCTTGTTGGCTGACCGACGAGTCAAAATTTCCGGAAGCCTCGAACCCATCCACAATGTCCGTACTCATTCCCAGGGATGAAGTGTAATTGCTTTCCACCGCGGTCGATCGCAGAGAAGACGGGTCGAGCGACGAGGCGGTGTTCGAATTATAATTTTGCCACCAACAGTAAACTTCGCCGACGACGCATAGGCAATGCGAATTCGCGTCGTACGACGGTATCTGAGGGAGGAGGTAATGCGTTTAGTAAAAGAGTTAGTAAAAGAAAAATATAAGAGAAAAAAATGATAAAAAAATTCAGTATATGCTGATTATTACGTTGGAGGATATAAGGACAAAATAATTCCACTTCTCGCATTTACATTATTTTTTAATGATAGATTTTTCTAATTTGGAATAGAATCTTTCTCAATGTTGAGATGTCAACAATGTTTGAGTTACGAATAATTGTAAAAAGAACATCTTTTCACGAACAAAACTTGAGCGAGCCAAGTGGATTACGTAGTTGCTTTCATCAGTTTATTTTAGTAAAGTTTACCGTAATAGAATCCCCTGATTTCTGAGAAAGTTAGTTACAGAGATATGATGCTATATAAAGATTCTGAAACTGTGATAAATGATGATCCTTCTCAACACTTTCTCAACACTTAGGGAAAGATCGATACGAGAAAAGGAGAGAGAAAAGAGAAAAAATTTTTACTTGCAAATGTATAAGTGCACAAGCGTATGATTTTTATCTTATATAAAATTTATTTTATTTAAAAATAAAAAATTTGTGTTATTATTAATACTGTTCGTTACATTTTTTAAACTAGTTTTGTATTAATTCAATATTTTTTTTTCTTGACGATTGTTTGCTGTACTGTGCACTGAAAAGAAATTTTCTCTATCGACATTCGCCAGTATACTTCTCAGTCGTTACCGTTTGGCTGTGAGAATAGGAATTTCCGTCTACAATGCACTTTTTGAAAAACGGGTCCTCTGTAGTGACGTCATCATCACCGTCGTCTCTAAACGTAACGTCGTTTTCATCCAATAAAGCCTGACTTGTCGCTCTCGCAGGTGCTGTAACCAAATGAAAGATCGTCAATAGCTGAAGAATTGCTTTTTTCAGCTGCTGTTTCAATAATTCAAATTTCAAATTTTCTTCTTTAGTCGAATCACTATTTATCTCAAAGATATGTGATTATTTTAAATCACTCGTTAATCTCTAATCATAGTTATCGTGCAATCTGTTTGTGTAGCATTCTCTAACGAAATCGTACATAATAAAACGATCGTTTTAATTGAATCCGCTCGCGAAAATTTGCACATGTGATACGAAAGCGTACTCATGTGCTCCACAACCCAATTTCATAATTAGAGCAAGCAATTATGACTGCGCCTTGCACGACTTAGAGTCTATCGTGACCTGAGGTCCAGTTATAAGAAAATAATCTTTTAAATAATCTTTTTGTCCTAGATAGAAAAGACTTGATATAGTGGAATTGTCGTACTTTTTTGAACTCTCGGATATTTTGTACAATTGTATCACGAAATCAGAATATGTTTAAAATATCTGATTTTCAAAAACAAATCAAAAGGTTAATAAATTAATATCTATTATTATATTCTTTAAAAAGTCCGATTCTTTTACGATAAAAATTAAGGAAGATTATTTGCTAAATTAATGTAAGAAATATTTACGACTTTCTAAAAGTTGCATCTTTCTTTCTAATTATACTAATTTTGTACAATTATGCAATAATGTCATCGCATATCCATGTTAAAGCTAAAATTTCACTTTGTTCGGTGAGAACTATTTGTATATTGGGTCATTATTTTAGACAGTCGTGAAAGTTCATCGGACGGTCGTTCGATCGAGTAAGATCGAACTAATAAAATTGGTGTAGCCTCGACCAATTTTACGATGTAGAAAGTTCACACGTGGATTAAAAAAAAAAACGATGTTTTAAATAATAAAAATAAACAGTCTAAAAAAAACAAAAAGTACTTTAGAAAGTTCCACTAATTAATTCCAATTAATATTATACATGATTCTGAAACTAATCAGCTAGAAACTTTTTCTCTCAGTTCGTAAATCACTGAACAATTATTGTTTTTTATATTGTAATTGAAAAAAATTGGCTTCAAGATTTTGAAGAACCATCTATACTCAAAAGAACACATATTGATCTTGGGTATCTCTCAAAAGATAAAAGATATTGCATATTGAAGCGACGCGACGAATGTGATGAGATACAAAACGTGGTGTAGGATAACGAGCGGGACAAGGAGATCGATACGCGAAGAAAATAGGATGGTACGTCGTACTTAAACAAATAAATGTTGTAGCTACGTGATGAGCTATGAAGCTTTGGGACGACACTAGGATATTAATCAATCGAGCTTATAGTTAACAGAATGAAAAAGGCAGTACTTTCTGCTTTATATACAGACGATGTGTATTTGCGATCTTTAATTATTTAGGACACCAAAATTACGGATAAACGATTCAGCGAATACGCCAATAGATATAATAATCGAATCAACGAATAAGAGGGCTGTATGTGCAAACAGCATGTACCGTGCACACCAATATCATATTTTATCATATTTGCAATAATTCTTTAGAATTACGATAATTTTAACATACTCGGAGCATCTGTCGTGTTTAGATATTCATGCACTTGAAATATTCAGAATTATAGTTCTATCGATTTATTTAATATTGTATGACATTTATTATGTAATCTTCATTATCTATTATTCATCTTCAATCTTTGTGTGTTTAATCTTCTACACGTATAAAACATTTATAAATACTAAAGTTAGAATGTTTTTATACATGAATATCTAGATTTAAGATTAATTAAATATTGCTTTTGAACTTTTTTTAAAAAGGAATTAATCCGAAATGAACCAAGTCCAATAAAATTGCATTAATTGGTCTTTGAAAATTATATATTACAAAAGAAACGGATTTTTAGCTTTTCATAATGTTTATTTTACGAGTTTATCAATCTTGTTATATTATGATTTAAAAAAAAATAGGCAACGAATTTTTTTTCAAGACAGTATTTAATCTATTTTATTATATCTATATATTTGTGAACAAAGTAACAGTTATTTAGTTTCAGTAACTTCTCGACTGTCATTCTGTGTATATTTACGTGTTGTAAATTATAAAATTGAAAGTTTATTGCACGAGTTCTGAGTTAAATGCAGCTTTTTCTAGGGCAAATTACGACGCTGAGCTACCGCAAACGAACGCAAAGTAATGAGTGACTTGGGTCTTTTTCTCTTATTTCTCGCTATTTTTTCGTTGCTACTGTGCAAGTCATTACGTGAGAGCGTGGAGAACCTCTATTCAAAAAATTTCTTTTGTTTTAAACCGTGCCTGACGAAAGCATTTTAAATTAGATTCTTAAATGCCCATAGGCACGCTGCAACGTATAACATGTATCGATATAAACCGTATTTCCTGCTTCCGATGTGACCGAGAAACATTTATCAGAGCTTCCAGTAATCAAGCTTTGATAGCTATATATGTAATCAAGTTTTGAAATACACGAATACCGCAACTTTAAAGTTTTACGCTATTTGTATTTGTGTTTGAGATTCAAGTGTAACATATGTATTAATACTTTAATTAATACAGATTTTTCAAACATAAAAAGTTACTTTATTCTTACACAGTAATATAAGTATAGAGACACTCGTGCGTTACAAGATTGCTTTGACGTTAATTAAAAAATTTAAAGTAGAACTACTGATTAAATAAATTACTGAACTACATATTCAAGCAAATAACGCGTTCTTGAAAAGAGTACCTAGATGCAATACGCATAATTCCGAGTCACATATATAATTTTTTATTAACACCAATGAATTAAACAAAAACATTTCAAAAACATTTTTTATGTTTGTCATACATATTGTGTGTTATCGTATGACAATCTGAGAACGTACCTAAATAAGAGCAGTAATAGTTTTAATCGGTATATTTTAATTAAATAATAATAATTTTGTACCCTTGTATACTATACATATTAACGCACGTAACTTACACGCGTGCCAATTAATATACGATATCGTACAATATTTTTAACGAACAGATAAATGTAACAACCCGGCTTTTATCACCTTTTTAACAAATCGATTCTTGGATTAACAAGGTGGTCATTCGAAGAATCTTTTGCAATCGTGAACAATGGCTCTTCGTTAGCGAAGTGTCCGCTAAAGCGTCATTAATTCAGCAAATCAACTGCGTTGCTTTATTTCCACTGCACTTTACCTCCTCCCCCTACTATATAAAATTAATCAATCGATGAGATATGGCTTGCAATTAAAACGTGTTAATTTAATTGTTATTACAGCTAATCGTGTCATTAATACGGTATCACTGACCAAACTAATTTATTTAACGCATCTATAAATTGTGGCGCGAAATATCCTTGAATCTTTTTCACCTCTTTTGCAAAAATAGATTAAATAAAATAATTTTCAAATTATCTTACTGTATATCATTTTGGATACGCGAAACAAATCGTAGAAGTCTCCGATCGAGAATATGTATTCGGACACGCATCGATTATTGTGAATTTGCAAACGGACTTGAAAGTGTCGCGATTACTTAAAATATAATATAATGTAATACTTCGAATGGTGGTGTTAAGCGTCTTATCTACGGCATGCAGCGACCACGGATGTCGCATAATCTGCGCTAAATTTTGCCTATTATTCCGCGCGCATCAGTAGATGTTTTAATATTACAATATTCAAGAATCAATATTTTTGCCCCCCGGCTATCTTGGCGATTGAAACACTCAAAATATTAATAATTTTGTGTTTAATAATATTAGATCATCGCCCTCGATTATTAATTGCTCGCTGCATGATGTTATTATAATCGTATATACTGCACAAATAGATGATAATGAATGATGTACGACAATGGACAAATAATAACATTATAATATATTACTATAAAGTAAACGGAAGAATTAACGGGTTAATTATTAATGATAATATAATGTATGTCTGTATTTCAAAAAGAAGCTTGTTTTTTAAATAAATATATATCTAAAAAATAAATTAAAAATTGAAAATTAAAATATTAACCTTAGAACACTATGAAATATAATAGGGTATGCCGTATTTTATCCTATTTTAGAAGGCGCGCCATTCTTTTATAACATATGACAAAGAGTTTGGATGGGAAGGAGAGAGAGAGAAAGAGAGACAGAGAAAGAGAGTTATAAATCTCTTCTACTAATTGCCACACTGCGCAATATTTATTAAGGAACAATATATCTAGTTATATTTATCGTTACACATTTTGCGAATTGCAATAAATTAAAACTACGGTAAATAGTTTTAAAAACTTACACATAGGTGTTTTCTTTATATACAAGTAGAGCTTTTTAACAGCGTAAAGGTTGTAATTAAAATTTAAATTAAATTTTAAATAAGATCACTGTTTTTAGTAGAAAGTAAAATTTTAAAGAAACGATATCAAAGTGACGTGTCTGATATTTAGAAAGGATATTCAGGAAAATGTATTTTTTTCTAAAAATAAAGTGATTTTTTTACTTTTTTATGCAAATAATTTTTTTTTAATGAATATTTTATTTAGTTACCAATTGTTAAATCAAATTGACTACTTCGTATTTTTCATATTTTGATATATCAATCTAAACAAATTTATATATTTAAAAAAATGATTAGAACACGATATGAACAGCTTAAATAATTCTCTAGCTGGGTGTTTTTCAGATGTTCAGGAGATTGAGAGTTGCAAAATTAATCCTTGCAGTATTTTTTCGATACGAAAGTGTGCTTCTATTCGTGTTTATTTTCACACGAGGAACAGCGTCGGATATGGCGTTTTTCCCTCCGCAATTAAATTCTTCTCTCAAAACTTAAACATTGCACGTGCAATCTATATTCGTACATTTTTCAAATGCAGAACGTGTTAAATGTACCAAGAAATTTAATACAATTTCACAAAACGCAATAATATATTTTTAAATCTAAAATTTAATAACATCCTCATTTTCGGCGACAATTGGGGAAGGCACAAATGCGGCAGGTGTGCGCGAGGAAACATATGTACACTCGCAAATACGTGCGAAATTCGTACAATACACTCACCGGCTATTGAACGGGCGACGTGACAGCGCAGCAGATAACCAACGACGAGCAGCATCCGCGGGAGCCTCATCATCGTTCCGCGAAGCGTGGAATACGGAGAGCCGGCTAATTTGGGAAGCGCCGAATCGGCGAAAGGCACGTGAAACCTCGTGGCAGCTCTCGCGCGGCGCGACTACCCCCCCGGGACGAAGGCCACGGACGCGCGTTTCTCCCTCCGCGTCTTTTTTTTTTTTTTCGCTTCTCTACGCTGACATTCGAGGTCGAGGGCCTTGAAACGGCCTTGGAGCACGGGCGACCGTCGCCGTCGCCGCGGAAGGCGAGTTCTCCCCCTCGGTAGCCCTTCGCCCTACGTGTACGCGCGGCTGCCAGCGCAGCCAGCGGTCGACATACTCACGCCACGCACGTCAAGGTCCAACTGCGAGCGACCAATTCTCGATACGCCAACCGCGGCACGGCAGGTGCAGCGAGTCCTCTCCTCGGGAGTATGCGCACCACGGGACCGTCGCGTCGCTTCGTCCTCTGTTCTTCTTCCTGCCGCCCCGGCTGCTGCTGCTGCATCCGATACTCGAAACGACGAGGATTCTCGCGAGCCGCGAGCGTGTGTGCTCGCAGTTTTCAAGGTTCGAGAGGAAAGTACCGAGGAAGCTTGACCCTTTTAAAACTTGAAGAATCAATTCATCGTCCTGATTCATCGAGAACGCATTTTTCTCAATTTTCCCAAGTTTTTTTTTCCAAAGCAATGAGGTTGCATATACCGTTCAATGCAATCATGCCGTTATTGCCGTTGCATTGTATTCTTTGATTAAAAGTTGATCTATTGGAATGTCTGAAATGCTGTAGCTATATCTCTCGGTATTTCGTAACTGGAATTTAAAGGTATATGCTTCGATAAAATGGAGCAATGCGCAAAAAGATGAAAAAGGGAACCGGGAATGGGCGTTTGAATTTTTCTGCATAAATAATCACCTGGGGTGATTTTTACGCTCCAATTAGTCATTATTGTTAATTACATATTGCATATTTTTGATTGTTTTATAATTTATTAGTATTCGAGGACAATATGTATATATAGATTTATGCAACATTGAAAAAAGTATACGGAAAACAAAACAAATAAATAAAAACGAAAGGAGCACATTGAAATTACTGTGATATGAGCTTCATGTTTTCGATACGCGATTTTTCGTGTAAAAATCACCCGGGAAGCGCTTTCCGAGTTAAAGTGTTTGACATGCATTTATTTATTATTAATTGGCTATTAACCCTACACTGTTTACACGCACGGAGAAAATTTTATAGTAAATATTACTATGGTGTCGCACTAGCTGCGGACCATCAAGGAATTTCAAGTTAAAATACTATAATTATTGTTTTAAAAACGATTAAATAACGTAATTTTTACCATAAACATTGTAATTTAACTTAAAATTCCTCGATGGTCCGCAGCTAGTGCGACACCATAGTAATATTTACTATATAAAATTTTCTCCGTGCGGTGAGTAATTTCAACGTTTTTTTTAACGTTAATTAGGCTGCGTTCGGGGAGCGCGCTATCAGCGCTATTTGCTTATTCTATCCTTGTTTTATACCTGATGAGCGATAAAGATAGAATGATGCAATAGCGCTAATAGCGCGCTCCCCGAACGTAGCCATATGGAGTGTATTTTATATCCCAACATTATATTTCAATTTTCGTTGTTCTCTTTGCTAATTTACAATTAAATAAAAGTAGGTAATACTCTATTTATCTTCTAAATAAAAGTTGACAGTATTGTATTTATCTTGTAGATAAAGACAAGCGTAAAAGATAAGCGTTCTTCCTCAATTGTGAAACAATTTGTGCAGCATTCGATCGAAAGAAAAAGTTTTAATATCTATGAATTTAGAAGTTTTTGAGATTGGGGTGTATTTTATACGCGAATAGGATTAATAAATCGTTTTCCTTAACGTCGTTTAGTAAGAAGAAAAAAAAAATTTGCTTCTGCCGAAACCCGGGATTGAACCGGGGACATTTAGATCTTCAGTCTAACGCTCTCCCAACTGAGCTATTTCGGCTCGTGAGGAGGACATTCGTTGGCAGTCTGAAAAGGCACTCTTACAATATACGCAAGTCACGTATGATTCTATATATAAAGACATCGAGATATCATCAATTAATTGTACATACGTATTATTTAAAATTACAGTACATAATTGTGTAATTCTCATTTAATCTCTATTATAGCTTTTATTTATTTTCAAATATTTTTCGAAAAACGAATGAAATTTCTAAATAATCAATAAACTTTATACTGAATTTCTGTTGTCATATTTAGACGTTATGAGATTTCTCATCATTTAGAGTAAAATATTATAAAAATGAATATTTTTTATCGATGTAGATTTTTCCTCACTTTTTTTATTTGCACTTTCTTATCTTCTATGGTGTAAATTCTGCATAATTAAGACAGTTATTTACGAGGCAATATTAATCACTGGTATATTGATTAGTATCGGGGTCAGATTTATGTGTCGCAATCATCTTGAAATTTTCTCCAATTTTTTTTCCAATCTTATCCTTCGTATGTCAAGTGATTGACAGTAAACGCACGTTGCAAAAACGCGCATTCTATGAAATGCTAAGGTTACTTACCAAGAGCGGAAGGGAGGGAGAGCTGTTTTAATTCATGGTCGTGATTCGAGCGAAGGATCTGGAAGAAACCACTTACAGGGCCAAGGCGATATATGTTCCGACAATAAAATGCGTGGATAATAGAAGCACACGCACTAAAGAAAAGAGGAAAAAGTAAACCATTATATACTTATTATTAAATTCGTAGTGTCAAATTATACTCAATTTGAGTCAATTTTAACCATTCCCATAAGTCGCCAGTGTTCCCCTACTTAACATATGTCGTTAATTTAACTAAACCAATGAAGTTAAAATAACACTGTTTGGTGTTAAAATAATAAATTTCGACACGACGTGGTAATTAAAAATAACAAAATATTATTTAACTCAATGTATAGGTTTAAATTTCATTCGATAATATTTAACCGTATTTATTAAATATCTTCATCTTTTTTTATTATATATATGAAAATTAAAAAATAGATCTTGGATTCGCTCAGATATCTTGATATCTATACTTTTAACGAGTATATTTCCATCGGAAAACGTAATGGATTATTAAAAGAAACACTCTCTCATGGATAATTTTTCGTTACTCCACCAAATTAGATACTTCTTGATTCTTTTTGACCGAGATATGCGAAACGTTTGAATCTTGAATAATAACCCTGGTAACCATTCCTTTGCAATTCTGCTGTAAAACTGCACGAAAAGTCGTGCACTAACTTTCGGGCAGATAATGCGTTTTCTATTTCCAACTTTGACTATTTTTCTGTTGGCAGAAACTTGCTCTCGTCGTAGTGCAACAGAATTGTGGAAGATATGTGTATGCATTTACATATAGCAGAATAGTGCAAGAAATGTGGCAGATGCTTGCACAAATTGCAGTGCAACATAATCGCGCCAGATTTGTAGCAGCGCCTACTGCTACCCATAGAACACAAAATATTTTTAAAATATTTTTTAGATAGATTAAAATAATTTACAAAAATATTTTTTATATTTATAGCACCGCAGTGGTGTTGGGTAAGCCTTGCGTTGTATTGCTAGCGAAGATTGTCGCAAATGTCATGATTTTGCTTCGCGCTTCGCCGGAGGCCTGCTTATATTAGATCCCAACTGAAATTTACTTGCGAGTTAGTTTTACTATTATGCGCCGCCTAGCGGCATTGTTGCAAACTAGCACATACAGCAGAATTCAACAAGAATTACGGCAGATGCTTGCGTAAGAAGTAGAGCAGCAGAAATACAAATGATTTTGGCAGAAATAAACAAAACAAGGCAAATGAGAGCTCGTTTGCGACGATGGACGGGCGACAGTAATAAAATATTACAAATTCAACAAATTGAATAAAATATATATAATAAAGTAAACGTTTCGGTCTTTGGTTTGGACCCTCCTCAGTACATATAGCTGGTCGAGTGAAATGCAGTGGTCACAAGTAGTCAAAAATGCAGTTATTCCGCTCTCCGATTATGAGAGTGTGGATCTCGTATCTTCAACGTGACTATTACCTTAATTCCATAAAAAGAAATAAATTAAACAAATATATATAGTCATACCTTAAAAAGTGATCACAAGAGTTACCTGACAGTCAAATTGATAAGATATACGACACCATCTCTCCGCGTAATACAATAAGTCTGAATAAGTATTACGCGGCATTTTTTACTACTTGTGACCACTGCATTTCACTCAACCAGCTATATGTAGTGAGGAGGGTCCAAATCAAGGACCGAAACGTTTACTTTAATATATATATTTTATTCAATTTGTAATATTTTATTACTGTCGCCCGTCCATCGTCGCGAACGAGCTCTCATTTGCCTTGTTTTGTTTATTTATCGTTATTGAGAGCGTTATCTTTGTTATTTTGGCAGAATATACCGTACATCTGATTTGTCAATCAAACATTTTTCGAAATTCGTAACGCCAAAATGGACCGTATAGCCTACATCTCACAGCACGAAGCTATAACAGTTTCACAATTTCCACTTAACTTACAGTAATTATTTCTATAAATATTTATAACATAAATTAAAAACAACTTTAATAATATTGATGATAATTATTTACACTTTATTTTAAAATATTTATTATAATCTTTTAGATATTTTTATTTTTCGGACATTATAATATTTACAAAATATTCAACGTATATATTTTCAAAATATTTAAATCTTTTTTATAAATATTTTATAAATATTTTATAAATATTTTGTGCTGTCTGGGAGTTTAGCGCGCTCGGCTGTTCTTTTTCTGACGGGCAGATGCTTGCACGCTTTTTTCACATTTCTGTCACTCGGATCTATACGGCAAAAACAACAATTTAAGCGACATTATACACTTGTGAAATTTTGCTGCAAATATGTTTCAAGAGTCTAGCACACTCGACTGCTCTTTTTCTCACGGGCAGATGCTTGCACGTTCTTTTCACGTTTCTGCCGGTCGGATCTGTACGGCAAAAACAACAATTTAAGCGACATACACTTGTGAAATTTTGCTGCAAATATGTTTCAAGCGTCTAGCACACTCGACTGCTTTTTTTCTCACGGGTAGATGCTTGCACGTTCTTTTCACGTTTCTGCCGGTTGGATCTGTACTCAAAAGATACTTCCATATTGTTTTCACATTTCTGCTACATGTTTACTTTGAACAAATAGTATAAAATTTCACAGTAGCTTCTTACAGCAGACTACTGCAATAGTACAGTAAGTACTCGTTCAATCACAGATATTATGCACTTTTGTCGCAATTCTGGACTGATTTCTTGCGCACTTCTTTGGGACGCATCTGAACTAGCAAACTGGTTACCAGGGAAGTGCTATTTCAGAATAGTGTATTATTACGCACAGCGTGCGCAAGTAACATTGGAGTATCCGCTCGCTCGCTTCCTCGGTGTGTTGACAATTTAAACGTGGACAATTCAACGTGTTTCCTGTGACGTGCGACGAACAACAATCTGCGTAATCTTCCAGTATATAATCTTCCGTCGTTAAATCTAAAATCGATGAAGATTTATCCCGCCTTCGAATCCCCTTAAGCCGCTTATTTGTCACGCAGAAAGAATATTTCACGTATACATATTTCAACATGTCTATATTTTTATTTCTACATTATACGATAGCATATATCTTATTTGTTGAGATAAAAATGAATTCGTGCGCGACCCAGATGTCTTCTAGAAGCACCAATGCCAAGTCAACTCCGAATCCCGCGACGCGGAGAACTGCATAAATTTGCAAAGTTCGGGCAGAGTTTTGCGCTTGGCGAGTGCTGATGGGGCTCGCGTAAATAACGATCGCGCCTCATTTCGGAAAGGCAGAAAGAGCGATATATTCGCGGGACGTAGAACGGGAGAACGAGAGAAAAAGGGAGACGAGGACGCGGCGACGAGGCCGCGCCGCGCGTCCGCGACGCTCTTCCTGCCTCGGAACTTAATTTGTCGGTACGCGGGCGATCGGCACCGCGCCGTCGTGGCCGTCGGCGTCCCGCGTCAGTCGTGTTTCGTACGCCGAGCGGCCAAGTCGAGCGCACGTGGACGCAGTGGAAGTCGCGTGGAAGCGTGCGCGCGTCACCATCCATCCGCCCGTCGTCGTTAGGAAGGAAGAGGAAACGAAGGAAAAAATAAGGAAAACGGGGGCCGACGGCGACCAGGAAAACGGAGCGATGGCCAGCTTGAGGCAGACCCCGCTGACGTGCAGCGGCCACACGAGACCCGTGGTCCACCTCGCCTTCTCCGACGTCACCGAGTCCGGGTACTTCCTCATCTCGGCGTGCAAAGGTGAGACACGAGTTTTGCGCGAAACACGGGGGCGAGACCCCGATCGGCCTAGACCGATCGTCGTCGCGTCTCTCGCTCCGATTTCTTTTCCCCCTTCCTCCTTCCCTCCCGACTCCCGATCGGTTCGGCCGCACGTCCGATTCTCGATCGCCTTGGCCCGATTCTTTTCGGTCGCTCCCAAGGCTCCGCGAGGCTCTTCGAGGTTATATATGCGCGTACGCTCTCGACCTCGACGCCGCTTCGCGCGCGATCTCTTCCTGCCTGTCGCGACGCGACGGCAGCTCGATTCGCATCAGGAGATTGAACGGGATTAATTAAACCATTAACGTGCCCCGTGTGTGACGCACTGCAGCAAATGTAGTTTGATGAGTCATTATTATTAGTTGAGGTTAATCGAAGAGCTTTAAACGCTTTTATTTTCCACGATGTTCCACGCATATATAAGTCATATGCTTGATACATGAAAATTTTTGGATTATAAAATGATAAGCAATTTTGATTCTTTCCGAGCTTTAACTTCTCTAAATATTCTACAAAATAGATATTTTTGAAGCATAAAATGTATTGCGTAATATAATATTTGGTATAAAAACATTGCTTCTCTCTCAAAGATATATTAAGTTAAAATATTTGAAAAAACTAAAGCTTTGGAAAAGAGTATTGTTTACAATAAAATATGCTTTGAATATGTCCATCCTGTGAAATCATTTTTGCGAAAGCTGAAGCTTCGAAATAGTTAAAGGCCTAGTTTACATCGATCTCTTGATACGCGTATCAAATAGTATATTTGAACTGATCAGCCAATAATCAGACTTATTTACTAGTTATTTACTATTTAATACGCGTATCAAGTGATCGATGTAAACTAGGTCAATATTGCTTATTTCCTAATTCAGTGTGTTATCAATCATATTTTTGGAATTATTTGGAAATAAATCGACTTAAATGTCTTTTCATATTATACATACATATTTATCAATGACACATTTAGTTATTATAAATGATATTATGTGGATGAAATATTTAGGAGCGAATAATTTTTTTCAGATGGCAAACCTATGTTGCGGCAAGGCGACACTGGAGATTGGATCGGTACGTTTGAAGGACACAAAGGGGCAGTGTGGGGTGTAGCTTTAAATCCAGAGGCTACGCGAGCTGCGACTGGCGCAGCAGATTTTAATGCCAAAGTCTGGGACGCGATTAAAGGAGAGGAAGTCCATTCCTTTCAGCACAATCATATAGTTAAATCTGTCAATTTTAGTACCGATTCCAATCATCTGTGTACTGGCTCAAACGAGAAGATTGTACGCATTTATGATCTTAATAAACCAGAAGCAGCCCCACAGGTAAAATTATATAAACTGATAAACCGTTTGTTCTTTATCGAGGAACTTCCCGAACTGGTGGCACACTAGTACACAATAAGTTAGAGAGACAAGTATTTTTTTTCACTCTAACTTATCGCACCAATGTGTCAATCAGTTCAGGAACGTTTTTCGAAAAAGCACAGACGGGGAATGATATAAATACGATTTACAATAATTATCTGGGCTAATGTAAAATGTATCGATTTCTTTCTTTTTCAGATCTTCTCAGGTCACACCAGCGGTATTAGGCACGTCACTTTCTTCGACAATAACACCGCTTTAATTACCTGCGCAGATGACAAGACACTGAGGGTATGGGACAGAAATAGCGGGCAAGAAGTTAAGAGACTAGACTTCCCTGCGGTTCCAAGTTCCATGGAGGTGTCGAAAGATGGAAGCATTATTACTACCGCTCACTCTAACATTGTTACCTTTTGGGACAGCAAAGAGTACGTAACGTTTTTTCTCCTTGTTGTAACAGTTCTTCGAAGAGTCATTCTAGACGAAAGAAACCTTGGGTTTCTCCTAGTTTTGCTCCAATTTGAGAAGAGGATATAGGCTTTTTACCAAGCTACCCAGCATCCCATTATAAAATTATTAAATATTAAAATAATATTAAAACATTTTTATAATAATGAAGATTAACGCTGTTTTCATATGGAATTAATTGTTTCAATTTTTCAATTTGTCAGATTAACCAAGATAAAAGAATTTATGGCCCCGACTCAAGTCAATAGTGTCAGCTTGCATCCGGATTGTACTATTTTTGTGTGTGGTGGGGAGGACTTCAAAATGTACAAGTTTGACTATAGTACAGGGGCGGAAATAGGTAAAAATTTTTTATTTTCTGTAATTTAGCAATTTTAATCAAAAATAATCCTGACTGTATGTAAAATTTGAATTTACAGAATCTTTCAAGGGACACTTTGGGCCTGTACACTGCGTACGCTTTTCACCGGACGGTGAATTGTACGCTAGCGGATCCGAGGATGGTACCTTGAGACTGTGGCAGACCGTAGTCGGCAAAACCTACGGATTATGGCGTTGCGTGGAACAGCCGCCCACAATACAAGAAAATGTCGCCGTGGTTAATAATAAACAAGAAGTTCCTGCAAGTTAAACTTGAACCTCAATAAGACAAGAAAATCTCCAGATGTCTTTCCGAAAGCCTAAAAGCAGACCTCTCGGACCAAACTCGAGTGGATGAATATTCTGTAAATTAAAACGCGTCGAATATTTATTATTTGGGCCGCCGGAAATTCTTGTAAATAACTCATCCATCTAGACAGAGATCGCCCGCCTCCACCGTGGCCTTTATTCCAAAACTACAAGTGAGGACCAATTTCAGAGCTCGCGGAGGTGCGGGGGATACGGGATTGTTTGTATTACGAGGAGAAACAACAATGAAAAAGAAATATTAACATTTATTAACATTATACATGTCACGTTATTATAATACAAAATTAGGTAGAGATGTAACGAGAGAAAGAAAGACAAGTTCATAACGAACGTTGCATTTGTATTTCTTCCGAGCCGATACCGTTCATCATTCAAACACACGAAACGACATATCGATACGTGACGCTGACACGTACCACACAGCACACATGATATCGCGTGTCTATTTTGACATGCTTTGTAATCATTTCGATCTTAATTTCCGCGGTAACGTAATATCGCCATAATGTACAGCACGACAATCCAATACAAGCCGTTTGCTTGTACGCGCGTTTATCTACTGCGTTAGTCCTGGCAATGACAGGTGTTCTAATCTCCTTCTTTTGAAAAGATGTCAATATAATCTAATTACGTAAAAATTCAAATTGCTTCGAATATTATTCGAAACCGGAAAGTCACTTTCAACAATTTTTCTGTTTCGAATAATATTCAAAATTTATGTTATATTCTACATGATCCAATGTGTCTTGAAACCATCGCTACCTCCTAATTCAAGAAGTTCCATGTCCCGTTCGCGTGTCTTTCCGCTCTCTTTTATTTTTCGACGATGCGATCTCCTTCGGTGAACTACTTGCGTCTTATCATCTATATTTACACGCCGACAGGTACTCTTTCTTTTATCTTCCGTTAAGTATCTCCTGCGTCATGCGTATGTTTAAAACATGCTCACATGTCCCCCCTGTCTGTCCGCTGTATTTGTTTTTTTCCCTTTATAGTATTGAGCTTGAGCACGACTGACCGGTTATGAAATTTTGGGATCGCGTTTGTCGTACAGTCTCTCGAAGTAAAGGCAGTGCGTTTCCTGCGTACAATACGATAAATCAGTTAACAAAGAGTTATGAATTTTAAGTCTTCCCATCTCTTTCGGATTCAGCCGATGAATTGCGAAAGGTCGGGCAGTTTGAAGCCGTTGAATGAGGCTGGCGTCGGCGAACTTCTTATATTGTTCGTGTGTGGCGGGAAACCAGAGAAACCCGAGCCGCTAGGAGTGGTGAACTGTTGTAGCCTCGCGTTACTCTCCGAGGCTGCCAGCACGAAACCGCATTGGGCGGTGCACACGTCGTCCCGCAGAATCGCCTCTCGAGAAGCCTCTCGTAGAAGTTGATTGCAGTCCGTGACTCTCAGTGAGGCGCATTGCGTCTGCAAAAAGGAGAGACTTGTTTATAAGATCTAATTTCAAGATTATAGATTGTTGTATGTATACGAGTACATAAGTGTTGATTTGACACTTCTTTTTTTTCTATATGGACCGTAAAAAGATGAAGTTTCTTTGGTTCGAGTTGGAAACAGGAGGATTCGAGCTTTTATGCTTTTCTTTTCATTCAGAGAACATACTTACGCCTTCATTGGTGCAAACGCAACTAGTGCAAGGCGTAGGGAAGCCAGACTCGCCGACCGCGACGTTTCTTCCGCCGATCTGACAGCCGTGTCTGGTCTCTCGCCAGGCGGAGAAGTCCATGTGGGGCATGGAGCTGCACGGTACGCGCGGGTTCAAGAAATTACTGGGTAGGTCGAACGCCGCTCTCTGCATGTCCGTCTGGTGGTCCATGTTCTCACACATCACCTTGGACAGGGTAGTCTTGCGAATCTCCGCCATCTGATGCTCGGTAAAGCGAATGTTGGGATCGTCGGTCTCGTACCAGAAACGATCGCACTTCCTCGACTGTCTGAACTGAATGGCGATGATGCAGGCGAAGGTGGGCCCGACCAGGCCACCCTGAAGCGGTCGCTCGCTCATACCGCCCGGGAAGAGATCGATGTCGTCCACGGAAGCGTATATGCGTTTCATCCGAGCTATCACTTCCGGCGCCATTTCCCTGGACAGATCCTCGAACGTGGTGGCCTTCTTCAAGTTACAGAGCGCTCGGTAGTGATTGTACGACGGCAGTCCGTGATCGCGGGCCCGGTGAATGTTCAGGGCTATCAGATCCACGCCGGAGTGCGGGATACCGCGTTGCTCGAACAGGTGATTGGTCACCTCGCCGGTGATGAACTGATCCAACGTCTCCATCGGCGTGGCGACCAAGCCACATATCATCTCGTCGATCATGTTCTCCTGATAGAGCATGTCCGGATTGAAGAATCCGTCACGCAGCAAGATGGGCGGATCGATGTTCTGATAGTTGCGGTCCATGCGCGGCAAGTGCGGCCGCAGCAAGGAATGACCGATTCGGAAGGCCGCGGTGGCGAACTCATTGAGCACGCTGGGATTGCAGGTGGGCGAGTACTCCTTGTAGTAACCTTGGGGCAATAATTTGAGACCGTACAGACTGACGGCATTCCAGCCGAGAATCCTCGGCAGAAATTCGTTGTACGTGATGTGTTGCAGCATCGCGCTAATTATGCGTCGCGTCTCCTGGAACAATTTCTCGCCGTCCCAGTGAGGATTCACCTGTTTAAAAAAATTGTCATATTAACGAAGAAAAGATTGTTTTTATCTGGTTAGCGAGGTGTTAGCAATCCGCCGATTCGTAGTGTCAAATTATACTTAATTTTAATCATTTTTATACTATTTCTGTTAGGTCGCCACTGCTCTTACTCAATTAATATATCGTTAATTTAACTAAACCAATGGATTAAAATAATAAATAGTTAAAAATAACAAAAAATTATTTAACTCAAGATATTGATTTGAATTTTATCCTTTAATCTTTAATATTTAACAGTGATTATATGACGACAGAAAGTTTTTTTCCAATCCATATTTAAAAAAAAAAGAGAAGACTTACGTGCCGCAAACCTTCCATCACGCGATTGTGTTCGCGTATCCACATGGTATGCATAACTGCCAGGGCCGGTTGCTCCGAAGCGCGACCGTCACCGCCAATGAAGCAGTACCCCGATCGCGCCTTGCACTCCGGATGCGTCGGCGATTGCGGCAATAGGTCCCTGCCGCGATTCGGGTGCGTCGTGATGTTCATGCGGCCGTTGAAGCCGCGCAGGAGGTTGCAGATACACGAGTTCTCGCCGTAGACCACCGACGCGTCGAGGAAACCGGTATTCTGATTCACCTGCTCGCGCGGACCCAGATGCTGCTGGCCCGGCAACGATCTCATCGACGGGAAGCACATACGCGCGCCCGACGAGACGTTCACGGTGGGATAAAAGTGATCGCCCGGCGGCACGGGGAACGGATTGCACTCGGGATGGACGGTGTGCGGCGAGTCGCACGATCGGCAGCTGGGAATCGACTCCTGAAAGCCCTTGTGGATGGGTGTCATCGTCAAGTCGTGATCCAGGAATTGCGCGAACTGCATCACCATCAGCGTGTAGCGATTGTGCAAATTCGATATGTCGGGGTGGATCACGGTGGAGATCACTCGGGGGTTCGGCAACGCCGCGCCGGTAACGGAGGTGCTTCTCGGTTTGGAAACGCCGTCCTCGTAAGCGGGCGGCAACAGGCGAGCGAAGGTGGTCAGCGATTTACCAAGGCTGGGATTGCGCAGATTGTTGCAATGACCCGACAGGGTTCGGTAGGGCGTGGTTGGATCGCATCGGGAATCGTCCACGGGACAGTGGACCTCCTCGTGATTCGTCGGCTTGTGATGGTGATTCAGGAAACCGGAGATATCGACGTTCTGCAGCAGATCGGAGAATTCGTTCATGTTGGGAAAGCCCAGGACGTTCTCCGTGTTGTCGAAGATCTGTCGCCTCCTGCGCCGAAGACCGTGCACGCCATTTAGAATCTCATTCGTAGCCAATTCGTACATGATGGACGAGTTGGCGAGCAGCAGGGCGTCCTTGTTGGCTTTCGAGAAGCTGGCCGCGGTGCCGGCGGGTGATCGCGGGTCGGCGATTCTCTGCTCCAGCCAGGCGTTGTACTCCAACTGCTTCCGCTCGATTAGCTCCTCCTCGGCTCTCTTCACCGCGGCGGCGAGCACCTCGGGGCTGATCTCCGGCAGAAGCTGCACTGGCTCACCCGTGCTCGTGTTTATCGAGCTGTGCTGCATCATCGCAGGAAGTGGCAGCGGATCCTCGGTCCACGCCGCAACATTCAGGGACTCGTACTGCTCGCAGTTGATCCTGCTGTTCAGGTACTGGTCCTGTCGGATGAACACTCTCGGCTGGATCCTGCGGACGTTGGTGTTGGCGCATAGAATACTGGCGAGGGACACCTTCCTGATCTCGACCAGCTGCGTCGCCGTCAGTCCTGACGGAGGGATGTCGTTCTCGTACCAGAAGCGGTCGGAATTTCTCATCGTCACAAACTGCTTCTTGAGAAGACACTCGAACGTTGGACCCACAGCGACGCCCGTGGCCGGAGTCTCCAGGATACCGCCCACGAGAAGATCCACGTCCTCCACGTTCGCGTAAATCGTACTTAGCATCTGCGCGTGCTCGGATCGCATTACTCTCGCTAGATCCGTGAAGTTTTCGATCTGTATCAAAAGCGAATTGAAATAATTATTACAGCGATTGTATAGAGACATCGAAAATATCCCCGAAATAAGAACGATTTAAAAGGTTTTTTGATGATAAAATAAAAATTATTAATTTATTGATTACTGATTTATAGGCACATTTATAATTATTTTTGGATTATTAACTCACGAAATTTTATTTTATCGTTAAAAAATGTTATTTCAAATGCAAGTTTTCTTGAGAATTATTTTGAAATCTAATTCTATGTCATGCTATAAAAGTATCACTATATCTCTCTCTCTCTCGTGCTGACCTTTGTTCGCCATTTTTGGTTTCATAAATCTTCTTTCTAATTGTGCAATTAGACAATACAAAAGAGTACCATGTTTAATAATGTATCATTTGATTTATGATATTTATTTTACCATGACAACTTCTTATATTTTTATTTTAGGAAACTAAAAAATGTGTGAAAATGATGGCGGTTCTTCAGAGATAAAAAAAATCACGTTGCTACTACTTCTTTATAAAAAAAAGAATAATAATCGTAGAATTTATTTGTGGTATTGAGCTTACCTTAACACTCTCTCCCAAACAGTCAACCAGGAACTTGATGTATCCGGGCACTCCGTGATCTCGTGCAATATGCATGGACCAGGCGGCCGCGTCCGGCGCGGATTCGAGACCGATGGCATTAGCGGAAGTGATAACGTGACTCTCCAGGTCCCCAATTTTATCGGCACGCGTCCA